ACTACGCGTTAGATCCAGCTAATTACTACACAGCACCAGGATTGTCGTGGGATGCCTTGTTAAAACACTCGGAAGTTAAACTCGAACTATTGCAAGACGTAGACAAACATTTATTTTTTGAAAAGGCAAAAAGAGGTGGTATCTCGAGCGTGGGTGGTATGAGATATCACAAAGCCAACAACAAATACCTACCTAACCATAATCCAAACGAGCCGTCGAGTTACATCACCTACCTCGATGCAAACAATCTGTACGGCTGGGCCATGAGTCAATACCTGCCGTACAAAGACTTTAAATGGGCGTCTACAAAAACGTTTACCGAGTCCAAGATATTATCTCTCAGGAAAACATCAAACACCGGTTACTGCTTTGAAGTAGACCTCGATTACCCGGACAATCTCCACGACCTGCACAACCTAGTAGCAACATGCAAAAATTAACGTGTACCCTTAATCCTAAACAAAAATATGTTTTGCACTACGTCACGTTACAGTTGTATCTCAAACTCGGCTTGAAACTTAAAAAGGTGCTTCGAGTGCTGCAATTTAAACAAGCTCCTTGGATGGCATCTTACATTGACAAAAAAACGCAACTTAGAACAAAAGCGACCTCTGATTTTGAGAAAGACTTTTTTTAAACTGATGAATAACAGCGTGTTTGGTAAGACGATGGAAAACGTCAGAAACCGGATTGGCGGTTATCTACTCAGAGACAGTAACGATGACGATCGAGATAAATACCAAGCTATCGTCTCTAAACCGAGCTACAAAACGACGATGTCATTTTCAGAATGCAAATTGTCATTTGTTGAAAAGAACAAGACTAAAACCGTGTTAAACAAACCGATCTATTGCGGAGTGAGTATCTTAGATCTATCTAAGATGCTGATGTACGATTTTTATTACAACCATTTGAAAGACAAGTACAAAGAGAAAATCAGGTTGATGTACACAGATACAGACAGTTTGGTACTCGTAGTGCACACTGACGACGTATACAAAGATATGCAGCAAAACGGGCAACAATACGACCTTTCGAATTATCCGACGGATCATCCTTTGTACGACCCAACCAATAAGACAGTGATTGGTAAATATAAAGACGAGTTTGGAGGTAAAATAATCCAAGAAGTCGTTTGTATAAGGCCTAAAATGTACTCCATTTTAACCGCTGACATCAACCTGAAAAAAGCCAAGGATGTCACAAAATCGGTCACCTCTAAGAAATTAAAACAGCGACACTATTACGACTGCATCTTAAACAAGAAATCTCATTACGAAACCATGACTCACATTAGGTCGGAAAATCATATCCTTTACACCGTATCTCAAAATAAACTATCGTTGAGTCCGTTGGACACAAAGAGGTACATTTTACCGGACGGTATAAACACGCTGGCTTTTGGTCACTACGGCGGTAATTGCGTGTCCTTGGGTACGACTTGAAGCTCTTGTCTCACAAAACTCCTTTTTGGGCCGTCTTGCAGGTAATACAGCGTGGGGCCCGTCGTCACTTTTTTTCCGTTAACCATTTTAAATTGACTCTTTCTTTTTTCAACTTTGAAGATGTCTACGCTCCAAATGGGATCCATGGCTCTTCTCGAAGTACCCCCCTCTTGCTCGCCCGGGTAATATAAATATCTAACCATAGCGTCTTGCGGTAAATTCTGCTCTTTTGTTTTAACGGGGTTAGCCGGCGATTGTCGGACCTGTTCTAGTTTAACCGCCTCTGACGGTGCTTTATCTATTAATCTTGTCATTTCGTCATTTATAGCTTTGATCACGCTGGGTAATCGCTCGACCCATTGCGTGTTTCTACTCTCGGGATTTAACATTTCTTGAGTATTGATGACCAAACAGTCTCTCGGCTAGCGTTCGATTAAATCTTTCTACGATACCCTGCGATCGACGGTTTCCGGGTTCGCCTACGATAATCTCGACGTTTTTTGAGGTCATCCATTGTTTAAAGCGCCTTTAAATTCGGTATTCTCAACGTTTTAGGGTAACTCAAAGGAGATCTCGCGTAAATCTTGATGATAGCATCTCGGGTGGAATCAGCCGTTTTAGAAACCAAATGTTCTGCTTCGTGGTATCGACTCGCGACGTCGACAACCGTCAAAGCGTATTTAAAAGTCTTGCGTTTTACTTTATCATAGGGTAGGTATAGCACATCCATTTGGTGAAAGTCGTTTGGTGTTTCAAACTCTCGCGAAGTACTCGTAGGCCTGGGTACATTTGCAGGACCCGGTAGATAAATTTGCCATATCGCTTGTTTTTTAAGCCAATCTCTGATTACCTTTTTATCGATTTTGGTTTTATCGTGTAAATGGTCGACGGCGCTTTCACCTCTCTAATAACCTCTCGGGCTATAATACAGTTTAGATAATGTTTCCATATTATTTAATATAAAAGACGTTTATAATAATATGGCTAGCGTTGCTATGATGATAGGAGGCGCGATCGTCAACGCCTTAGCTTTTACTGGTTCAAACTTTATATTTTTGGCGAGCTGCGAAGCAGATGCGAGCCTATGTAATACCAATTTCCGTCCGTCTGTCCGGGCGCCCGTCCGTCCGGCCGTCCGTCCGCGTTCAGATAAAAATGTTGAAGTTTTTAGTTCTAGTTAATTTGAGGAAAAAATTAAATGCAGTTGTCATGTATCATCTCTATAACTTCAGTTAGGTTCATATCATTGCAGTAAATTTTATTAATTTAATTCAAGGAAACGTTAAAGTTTTTAATTGTTACTTGTACATAATATAACATGTACATGTATACTATGCATTTTGGGAATGTGCATGAGCTTCTGGTTTGATCATTTAGTTTATGGGGTTGGAGTAAGGATGGGGTAGGGGAGGGTGGGTTGGGGGATAGGGTTTGTGTGAGTAGGATGAGTAGGGGAGCTAGGATGGGTGGGGCGGGGTGGGGTGGGGTGGGGAGAGGGGTTGGAATACTGGGTTTGGGTGGGGTGGGGATTTGTAGGGGTGGGGTGGGAACAGGTAGGGAGAGACAGGTAGGGAGAGGATGGGCATGGATGTAGGGGTTGGGTTAGGAGGGGGTTGGGCAGGGGGCGGGATATACATGTAGGATCGGAGTAGGGGTTGGGTTGGGGATGGGTAGGTATGGGTTGTTGGAGGGGTTGGATAAGGGGAGGGGGCAGTATATAGGGATCAGAGTAGGGGTTGCATGGGGTCAGGTGGGGATGTATGGGTGGGGGAATGGGGTGGGCGGGATATTGGAATTCAAGTAAGGGTTAGGGTGTGGATGTGTAGGGTGGGTAAGGACAGATAGTGGAAGATAGGGTAGGTAGGTGTAGGGGGTTGGGGTAGGGGAGGGTACGGGTCAGGGGAGGGGGAAGGAGATAGGGATTGGAGTTTGGGTGGTGATAGGGTGGGGATGGTGATAGGGTGGGGATGGTTAGGGGAGGATGGGATGGGTGTGGGTAGGGGCTTGGGAGGGGGAGGGGGCGGGTTGGGGATGGGGTAAGGTTTTGGGGTGGAGTAATTAAGGTTTGGGGGAGGTGGTGATGGTGCTGTGTCTTCATGTACATGTATACCCATTCTCGTTCTGCATTTGTGGCGACTACACAAGAGTTTTCCCATGGTAATACAAGTATGGGGAGCAGAAGACACTGTTGGCGCTGCAAAAATCCACAACTGGGTCCTAATTACTCTAACAATGGAAAACTCCCCCATAATACAGTGACGGCTAACCTATATACACATGTATTTATTATGTAATCTGTTGACTTTTTATGTTGACATTTAAAAACTGACCCCTACACCTAGGCACATCAACAAGAATCCTGATCCCCTTCCATCATGCCCATCCCCAACCCTACCTTCAGCCTCCCTTCCTGCCTTGGACAGCGAGCCATGGCGGCTTCGCCGTTCTAGTCAAATCTGAAACAGAGCGGCGAAGAGCAAAAGAGACATGATTTAGCGATAGAACAACTCTCGGCCGCCAAAGATAAGTGGCAACGAGAACGAACGAAATATCTAGATTTTCTCAACGAACGTATCAGAAAACAAAACGCAGCTAAAGAGACATTTTCCAACGTAGACTGAGCGTTACGTTACTACAACGAGGTGAGTGGAGAATCTACTGAACTACCCGTAGGACTGCAACGCGAACCCAAACTCGAAGATTTTTACGAGCCTAGCGACCAACAAATAGAAAGAGAACTCGTGTTTATCGCGGGAGGAACGCTGTTGGTGGGCTTTTTGGCTTACAGATACCTTTAAATTTAAAACTCGTTATAAATAAAAAGAATGCATACGGAAAAAAGCTAAATCCCAGAAGGCTATTAAAAATACCCAGATCTATCAAGGGTGAGAGAAAAGAGGTGGTCATTACCCACAATCCTAGTAGTATATCGGCGGGGCAAATGCTGAGGGTCAAGTTTCCTCAATTGGGCGCAGACGACTTGATCCTACCCGGCACTTGTAAACTAGCTTTCTCTTTAGAACTCGATGGTGGAGGCGACAACAATAGAACCATTTTTGGCAATTTGGCGAGAAGTTTAGTCAGTAAAATAAGCGTCAGACTTCAAGTTCACGAAATCGTGAGTTATCACCACGCCGACGTGTATCACAACTTTAAAGACAATTGGCTAAACAGCTCGACAACTCGAAACATGGCGTACTCGGGCATAGAAAAAGAAAACGTGTCTAAAATAAGAACGGGGGCTGGAGATGCTAACGCGGGCGCCAACAACGGTAAAGATCAAGCTATCGCGGATGCCTATGGTAACAGATATTGTATTTCCCTAGACATTGACATACTGACTTCGCATCACCCTTTTTATCCCAGCGGTTTAAAACAAACTCTGACGTACGAGATAAAGTTTAACGATCACGAAAAAGTAGTCAGCAGTTCAGATACGGTGGCGATGTATTCTATCTCAGACTTGACTCTCGAATACGAAGTGGTGACCAACAGAGACCTAGCTATCACCATCAGGAATAAACACAAGGGTTTAATGCAATATCTGTTTGATTTAATCCACTCTCTAGAAGTAAAATCCGTCAACAAATCGGACACGCTTTGGAACGTCAGCGTCCATCAACCAATCAGGAGTCTCAAAGGTATTTTGTTTTTGTTTAAAGATCCCACGGACAAAAATCCGCAGCGATTTTATAATCCAAAAATAACCAAAACATCGGTGACCGTAGAAGGTAAACCCAATCAACTCTACAGTCAAGGCATGTTCCAGTATCAACACTGGAACGAAATTATCAAGTTCTTTGGAGACAGCGATACCGAAAGCGGGCGTGGAGTATCCAAAGACTTAAATTTGACGGGTTGTGACCTCGGAGACTATCTAAAAAACAAGTACGGTCTGTGGCTCAATTTTAGAAGTAACGACGACAATTTCGCTCACGGATCCGGTAGGAAACTTGGAGACGGAGGAGGCATCAACGTCCAATTTAACAGAGAAGCTGAAAGTCAAGGTGACCTCATGATGTACGTCTTTTTAATCATGGATGCTCAATTGAACTTGGAAGACGGTAATTTTAAATCTCTGTTAAGTTAAAATGACACAGCCACATTGCGCTTTAATCGTCGGCAAAACAAATTCGGGTAAAACCAAATGGATTTTGGATCTGTTAGAGTCAGACTATAAAAACGTATTTTAAGTTGTAGTCATCATTTGCCCTACCATATTTAAAAACAAAACGTACATCGAAAGAAAGTGGATTCAAGCAGATCCCGAGGTATATCTGTGCGATCCGGAATTGTACAAGATGACGCTCAATGAAGCGATCAATTTTTACAGTAAAGTATTTGAAGGTGTTTCCACGTTGTTTATCTTGGACGATTGCTCTTCGGATCAAGAGATTAAATATCGTAAAAAGACGTGCGCTTTAAGCAAGATGACGTTTTGCGAAAGACACGTCAATCACAGCTGTTTGTTATTGACTCAAAAGTACAACACCGTTTTAAAAGATTATTGAGAGAATACGGCTTGGTTGGCGTTATTTTACTGCAAAGATAAAATATCTTTTGATCAAGCGTTAGATGAAAATGACGTCGTACCCATTGAAGAACGAGATTATATAAAACGACGTTTGAGAGATGTTAAATATAGTAAACTGGTCGTATACACCGAACCTCCAGTTAGTTACGAGCTATTGGAGTAGCCAGATAACCTAGCTGCTTAACTAAAATAAGCTAGGTGCTTAACTAAAATAATCTAGGTGCTTAACTAAAATAAGCTAGGTGCTTAACTTAAATAAGCTAAGTGCTCAACTAAAAAAAGCTAGGTGAGTAGCAACCTACTCAACAAGCTACACAGGTATTACAATTTGCTAATCAACAAAAATCAGCAACCTATTCAATAAACGTCAACAAAATACATTTTGCTGTAAGTACATGTAAATGATAGCAATATTCAAGTATTTACAATTTCTGGCTATTATCATCATATCGCTTAATCTATCGTTTTACACATACGAATACCTTCGCTTTTGTAACAAAGTTGCAAAAGCTACAACAAAATTAAATTTGTTTCTAATTAAATGGAGGACCTAAAACTTGCTTTAACGAACGAGCAAGATCAAAACGCAGAACATAAAGATCGTTTGTGCGGTGTCGTAGCAGCCGGAAACTCTACAAAGTACTTGGGAAAAGAATACACCGTTAAACATATCGAAGCTCTTGACAGTAAAGAACTCAAAAAGCTGTATCATCTGTACGAAACTAAATTTGGAAATGAAGTTGTTCAAACTGTTGGCAAATACACTTTAAGTCTATTTTCGAGAGTGTTATCCGTTGTTACCCCCGTACAAGTTTTAGGATATAACGTCACTATAGATTCTGAAGAAGAACTAACCAACGACTTGAGTTCTGATCCTATTATAAGCGCGAGTATGGCTGGTATGTTGAGCGACGTTTGTTACAAGTACGGAACTTTTATATCACCCCTAGTAGCTACGATCATCACAACAAAACATTTGAAATTTAACAAACCTAATATAATAAATGGAAGATCAGAAAGCAGCGACAGCAACGCTTGCGGCTCAACCAGCAGAGACAGAGACGCCCCAACCGATAAAAACAACGTCATCACCGACGGTAACGAGAGTGACCAAGACTAAAAATCCTAAACGAATACAGCAGGGTAAAGCTTTAGCCGAGCACAATAGACAGATGAAATTAAAATTAGCAAAAATGGAGGTAACAACGGACGACGCTATAAATTACAACTCTTGGGCGATGTGGGGGGCTATAGTGTCGTTAATAGGAGTGGGGTTGCTGGTACTAAAAACTAAGGCAACTGCGCCGGTGGTACAGCCAGTGCCGGTAGTATTGCAACCCACTACACCCAGCGCCCCCTAAACGCTAGACATGGAATAAACAGCAATTTAAAAATTGTTATATTAAAAACGATGAGTAACTTTGACACCAGCGGAATAGCAAATACGATTTATCACGGAGCCGTCATATCGGGTCTTTCGATGGGATACCTCATGGTAGGAGCTAAACTACTCAAAATGAAAGCGCTAGATCTTAATAAAATAAGCGTAGAAGATTATGCTAAATTGACGGGTAGTATAAGTGGAGCTCTGGCCACGCAAAATTGGTTGATAACCCAGGGATACTACCGGGCAGTATCGTCAAAACGGCGTAATTTAAATAGGTTTATTAAATAATGGCTGAAGGAGGACCTGACATAGATCCCTTTGACTATAAAAGAAATGATGATAATGATGATGATGTAGCAGAGACCAATCTAGATGACACTTTTGATACTCCTGACACATCCATCCCCACTACCGACATAGATGAGGATTTATATCCAGGAAGAAGCATGGTCACAAGTGATCGCGTCGATGATTTTTACAAGAATTTTAACAGAGACGATAAACCATCACTACCACAATACGAAAAATTTGTTGGCACTCAAGACGGGTTATTTTTCCAAGCAACTGATAGAGCCTTAGTAAGATTAACGGATAAAAGAAACCCCCAAAAATTCTTGAGTCTACCGAGTATAGAGATTAATGCAAAAGCGTTACATATTTCAGGTAGAACTTTCATTAGACTCGAATTGGGGTTTAAAGATTATAAACGTAACCCGCTTGAACAAGTAAAACCCGATAGTATCCCCATGACGGAACTACCCAGCGTCACCGATGAGGTAACCGAGATTATAGACGATTTTCAACGCGACACCGGCGCACAAACGGAAGGATTAAATTACAGAGAACTCTAGGGTTTAGACAAAAGTCTTCAGACGTTGAGAGGTAACCTAGAACTTAATTTATCTCATCTCACTGAACTCGACCGAGAGATAGCAGCCACGAAACAACAACTCGACGAATCGCACAGCGAGGAGGGTCTACGAGAGTTAAATGATAAATTGAGTGACTTGAACGTTGAAAGATCTGCCAGATTAGAAGCCGCAAAAACCAACGAACGAGGGCTCAAAAGTCAGATCGCTAGAATCACAGAAATGATTAATAAAATATTGGACGGTGACACGACTATTGCAGAAAAGATTAGAACTCTGTTTAGAGAACAAGGCGTGACCGTAGTGAGTATTTTAGCCGCTTTTAGTTTAGCCATCAGCACGATAGTGAGTAGCATCGTCGCTAGCGTGAGAGGTGCGGGTGCCCCAACCGTGCCATCACCGACACCAACACCAAAACCGACTCCACAAAAAGGCGGTATCAAAGAGTGGATTTCAAAACAACTCGCTAATTTTGCATCTGCTCTTTAAAAACTCGGAGTGAGCGCGTTGGGTGCTCTGCCGGGTATCATAGGCAGCGTATTAAGTTGGATATTTAACGCGCTGAGTAAGTCCGTATCGTAGTTGGCCGAACACGTGTGGGCTTTATTTTTGGGTGTGGGAGCCTTGGTGTTGGCGTACTTGCAAAAACGATGGTAGTAATAGTTGTAATCAAGTTTAAAAACAAAATGACAAAAAAAGCCTTACCAGCACAAAGTTGGTAAGGCTTTTTGTTGTTGTGTGATTAGAGTGTGACTTATCGCGTTACCTCGTAAGCCAACATACCCATGCCAACGATAGCTAACATTCCTACTGTCAACGATAATTTTTCATCTTGGTGAGTTTGTAGTTTTTGTGGGCTCCTGGGTTAAAACTGTAGGTGAGGGTGTTGGTGTTGGTGAGGGTGCTGGTGCTGGTGTTGGTGATACAATATCGTTTGTCATAGGCTCTGGGGGTGTTGGTGGCGCGACGTCATCGGTGTCATCAAAAGAGTCGTCCGGTTGAGGTTGTGAGTTTAAATCTGGAACCAAACCAGTTTTCATAATCTGGGTAGCGATTTGAAGATTGTTGTTATATCCGTCGTGCGTTCCAACCCTCAAGTTCATATCCGATGGAATTAAATACAACCCCGGTTTCACGACAAAATTGAAAGGCGTTCTGGCATACTGCAAAGAGTCTTGAAATTGATCGATACTCATTTGCATGTCGTCTTCCGCACTGATGATGCTTTCTACGATGACGTTAAATTGTCTCTGAGCGTCTAATCCGGTGCCTGGTGTTAATACGCTCGTTTTTGTTTGAGCCTGCGCACCTAGTAAGGCGTACACGTAAGATCTAATCGATTCGTTTATCTTTATGATTCCCGCTTGGGTAAACGAACTTGTGTCGGGTATAAAATCTAACCAAGCCTTTTGTACCGATTCATTTTGTTCGATGTAAATAACCGTCCAAGGAACGTAAAGGCTTCCACTCTTTTTAGGACTATCTAGACCGTGGTAGCCGCCGTAAATAACGTTGGGTTTGTTGGGTAATGCTCTATCGTATTCACCAACCGCCACAAACTTGCCCTTATTAAAGATGTACGAGGTACCCAAACCGTTAGAGTTTGTGTCTCTCGTCTGTTTAAACGACTTGTTTTGATCTATGCCAAACAACAAACAGGTATCGGTAAATGCTCTGTTATTTTAACTGTTGTCTAGAGCGTTAAATGCGTCATCTCCCGGTAAAGGAGCGGCAAAGTCGTGCAAGATCTTTCTAACCGTAAAAAATAAATGAAAGTTAAAGATGGCCCAAATGTAACGGTTGCTCACGTTAAAAAGATCGAATCCAACACCGCAGCCCGTAGTAGCGCAA